GACCTCCAAAACAGTAATAGCAAGTGTTGATCGAATGCCTGCTCTGTATAAGAATTCCTCTAAGAATTTCACATATGTTCACTCAAAGTCACAAAGAAAGCACTTCAGTGCCAAGTACTCTGTCCCTAAGCTGTATCCGAAGCTCACTTTTTACTTGTATTTTGAGATAAGGTCTCATTCATTTGTCCAGGCTGACCTTAAACTTACGTGATGATCCAGGCTGAGCTTGAGCTTGTACTCCTGCTTCCCTGGCTTTCTATTATCTGGGATAACCAGCCCTGTGCTACCAGGCTTGGCTAAGCACTCTACTATTTTATTTTATGTGTAAGTATGTATGTGCGGTGAGCACGATTGTATGCCACATATATGGAGCCAGAAGAGTCCAGAAGAGGCTGTTGGATACCCTGGAGCTGGAGTTACAGGTGGTTCTAATCTGTCTGATGTGGGTGCTGGGAACTGAAGTTATAGGTGGTTCTAAGCTGTCTGATGTGGGTTCTGGGAACTGAACTCAGGTTCTCCACATCTCTCCAGCCTCAAATCAGAGTTCACATCTTAGGAGTCCCCCTCTTTTTTTTTTTTTTTTTAAATGAGTCACTCCATGTTGTCCTGACTGGCCTGAAACTTACTAGCTAGTATACCAGGCTGGCAATAAAACTCACAGATACACCTGTCTGCCTCCTAAGTGCTATGGTTAAAAGTATGAACCACCACATCCAATAAGATCTCCATCCATTTTTAATTAAAAGTGGGACAGATGGAGGCTGGTGCGATCGCTCTGTGGTTAAGAACACTGACTGCTCTTTCAGAGGACCCAGGTTCGGCTCCAGCACCCACATGGCAGTAACAGCCTTCTGTACCTTCAGTTCGAGGGGATCCAATGTCCTCTTCTGATGTCCACAGGCACTGCAGGACAGGCCACACTTACATACATGCAGGCAAAACATGCATACAAATAAATAAATAATGTTCTAAAGTGTAGCTCACACACATACACACACACACACACACACACACACCACCACCACCACCACCATTGGATAGATTAGAGTATTTGAACAAAAGTGTATCTTTCATGCTGAAAACACTGACATGTCTTGAAAAATTTGAACTTTTAAGTGAAAAATCAGAATTTTGGAAATGAGAGCACTTAGAGTTTCATTTCATTATTTGATCTGATTTCACCTCTTTCTTTTTATTTCTTTTGACCCTTGATACAATTTCAGGGTCTGAGTCAAAATTACTTTTAAGCAGCTACTGTTCATTGCATTTTCGTGTTTTATCTAACAAGGCTGTTCAAATCTATCAAAGGAGATTAGTATACCTGCTTTCCAGTCAAATACCTGTATGGAGTAAAGTCTTCAAGTGACTCAACCAGTGTAACATATTGCAGTGACTTGAACACAGAAGCTGATGACCCATTAAGGGATGTTTGCAATAAATTTACAAACACATAGCAGGGTTCTTGAATAGGCTATACTTCTAATTAACAATTTTTAAATGCAGGTATTTTCATAAAATGTTGTCTGTTAACACTGAAGGCATTTGTTACTGCTATCTTTTTATTTTTTTGGTCTTTTTGAGACAGGGTCTCCCTGTAGCCCCAGCTGTCCTGGAACTTAGTATGTAGCCCAAGCTGGCCTCAAACTCACAGAGATCTGCCTGCCTCTGCCTCCCAAGTGCTGGGATTAAAGGCGTGCGCCACCACGCAGGGCTGTTACTGCTATCTTAATGTGTGACGTAACTACCTTTGTTAGTTTTTAGTTTGAGTGCCATGGAGTCCAACAGATATATCCCACATATATCCTTGTGATTCTCAAAATGTTAATGACTTTTAATGAATATAAAGAGGCCTGCAGTCAGATCCTTAAGAACTGTTGATTTGTGAGAAGCTTTTTTCAGACAGAGACAATTGATAAACCTGTTGAAGTAGGAGCAGGTTTGTGTGAAAAGGTGACAGAACAGAAGCAGTGATGGGAAACAAGGAGGAGAGCAACATAAGGAATTTCATCCACTGCCTTCAAGGTTTTATTAACCTACAATTAAGGAATCACAAGGGCATGAGAGAGGACATGTGCCATCCTTCCTGGATTGCTACAGCTGGATAATCCAGCTCTATCAGTTTTGAGAAGAATTAAAAGACTTCATTCTTTTTTATGACTCAGTAATATTCCACAGTGTCTCTAAAATGGTAGCAGGAAAACAGCTTGCTAGAAACCAAATATAATTAGATAGAAGAAATAATTTCCAGTGCTCCATAGCACAAGGGGTGACTGACCTTCACATAAAAGCCTTTTACATATTGTAGGATTGGAACTCAAATGGTCCTAACATAAAGAAGAAAAATAGGAGAAAAATGCTAATCCCGATTCAATCAGTGCACACCATAGACATGTACACCTTGCATACAACCATTTTCACCTCCCAGCTCTGACCACCCCTTTCCACCCTCCTTCTTTACAAATTTCTCTTTCACTTCCATATCTACTCTTTTTGTTTTGTGATCCACCAAGATTAGCCAGAGCCATCTGTGTGAATCTGGATTTGGAGTTATCCCTTGAAGTCTAATGGGCTGAGCAGAGGATGCACAGTAAACACAATGAGTCTTGCTTTCCCATAGTCTATCACTAGCCGTCCTCCTTCCTTCAATAGGGCTTGTCTTATGTGAACCTAGCTGTCGTGGGTAAATGAAGTTGATGTGGGTTAATGGTTACAGTAACGACAATAGTGGTATCCAGTCTAGGGATGATGTTTTGTAGCCCTTCACTTTGTCTTCTGGCTCTCATGTACTTCCTTCTTCCAATTCTGCGAAGTTCTCTGAGCATTAAAGGGGATGGTAAATGTAACTCTTCTAGGGCTGTGCTCACAGTCACCTCTGATGGTCTGCGGCCTTGAGTTTCTTTCTTCACTACTGTTCACTGTAAAGAGAAGCTTCTCTGTTTAAGTCTGGATTTTTTAAATGTAAATCTCTTAATGAGAACAGCATACTTTTTATTTATTTCTAAAATATACTTTTCTTATAAGATGTTGAAAGAGAAGGAAGCAATGCAGAATGATTTGGAGGTTTTTTGTTTTGTTTTTTTTCTTAATTAATTAATTTATTTTTTGAAGCCTGTTTTTTTTTTTTTTTTTTCCCCCAATGGTTCATAGGTTGCTTGGCAAAACTTGGTTTGAAAGCCATCCTTTCTACTATTAATTAGCATTTAAAATGTAGTTATTTAGTGAATTGTTATTAGGCCACTAATTTTATTAAATGTATTTATTGATCCCATTTGCTTTCCAATGACCTAAATCCACTTTAATGCATTTAAAATCTATGGAATAAAAATGTATTTTTTGCTTCATAGAGAAAAATTCTAAAATATAAATAGGTGGTATCTTTCAAAGAAGAAGCCAGATTCTAGAATTTGATGCACTCAAAGTTTATGTTTAGGGTTGTTAAATATTTTCCATCAAGGCCATTTAATCATAGTTGATTCCTCTATTTCTCCTTTTTCCTAATACTTCGCAAGCTCATTTATTTTCTTTATTTGAAACCTGACATCTTCCAACAATTTTCTTAAAATAATAACAGAATTTACTTATAATCATTTATAGTTCCATTAGTTACATACAAGAGGATTATCTTTTTTTTTTCTCAGCTGTTACAATGAAACTAAGACACTCTAGTATTTTTTAAGGAGAATTTAGTAGTAACATAGAAATTAATTTTCCTTGGGTCTCATTATTAAACTTTGATATACTCAGTGTTTTAATTTCTGTTTGTTTGCTTGTTTGTTGAGACAGGGTCTTTTGAGGGTGGCCTCAAACTTACTTTGTAGCTGAGGATAACCTGGAATTCCTGGTCCTCCTGCCTCCAACTCTAGAACGCAGGGATAACAGGGATGTGTCAACTCAGCAGGGTACTCCCCAGTACTTTATCCCAGGACTTTAAGTCTCTGTGTATACTAGGCAAGCACTCTATCAACTGGATTGCATCTTTGGGTTTTATTTATTTATTTATATTTATTTATTTATTTATTTATTTATTTATTTATGCCTACATGTGTATAAGTGCACCCATGTCATGGCCTTGAATTCACAGAGTTCCACCTGCCTCTGTCACCCAAGATTAAAGGTATGAGTTAATACATAAGGAAAATAAAATGTGGCAATTTGTTCTAAGAGTTTTCACAAATATGAGTATTTTGAAGTGAAAGAAATCGAAAGACACTATAAATACAGCTGAGCTGTTATAAGAAAAATTAAAGAAGTAAGGGCTTGAATAGATAACTCATTTGCTAAAAGAACACATCAGAAACTCATGCTGAAAGACCTCTTGGGCCAGGTCTTTGCAAATCACAACTTTGAGTAACTTCCACTTGTGAAAAAAGTCACAGGCATGTGGTATCAAAAGATTAGTAACTTGTGATAGTTTTAGAATATATTTGTATTTTCATTTTCTCTTATTTTTGGCATTAAACTATAGATTATTATCTGCAGGGTGAGCCTTGGAATGAATTCCTAAAGGAAATCCACAAATGAGAAACAGGCAAGACATTGCTGAGCAATTCCAGATCTGAGCAACATAAAAAGAGTTTCCTCCTCAAGAGAAGTTAAGTGGGAATGTTTGTATTTATCATTTGTATCAGAACATCTATGAAGAACTATTCGTATTTTGCAGAATAATGTTATCTTCATGATGAAAATTAAGTGTTCCAAGAAAAAACATACATTCCAAGAGACATGAACCAAAATAATTGAATTCCTTTGAGTTTGCTCATTTGCATTTACTTTGCTGAGATCGTTTGCTCTCTTTGTGATTTATGAGATCTTTGCATGAGCAGAGTAGTTGGCTGAACAAATCACACTTAACTGCTGTGTCAGACACTAAGTACAGAAGTTTTAAGAGAAACATTCTCACACTGAGTCGCTTCATTTGCAACAGGACTCAATTCTCCTGGTATTTGAGCCAGTTAAGCACATCTCTGTTTCCTATTCCATAGGGAATGAGCTGGCTGTCCACCTGCACTTCGTTAGAGAGCAGTGTGTTCACATGCCACACCACAAAAGCCCCACAATGACATAACTCCATGCAGAGACTGGCGTAACTGGGCTGGTCCCCCATCCGCCTCAGCTCTTGTATCACTAAGAATCTGGCAGGCAGTTCCATCCTGACAGAGTTTACAGCACATATTGGTGGATTCCTGTCCATAGTGCATCTGTTTAAGAAATTAACGAAAGCAGTGTCAAGACAGTAAGGTAAGTGCTACTTAACTGTAGCCCAGGGGATGCTGAGTATTTGGGACAGTGCTTAATAATAACAGGATCAGAAGGGACAAAAGCAGAACAACTTTACCAGTTGTTCAACAGCAAATCCACAATTTTGAACATTTATTTTCACATATGCTTAATATGCTTTCAATCATTTATGGATTTGAGGTAAATTTCTCAGTGTGTGCCATGTTGATTGGCCAGGGAAGCTTAAAATATTTCAAGCTTAGGCTGTGAAAATAAAGAAGACACTGTAAAAAGTATGACATTTTAAAAGCTTGCCATTTATGCTAATTAATTATGTATGCTAGAATTATTGAAACCTAGTATTGGAGCGGAACAAGGTCACTGCCAGCTGCGTGCCACATATGCAATAAATATGTTGTTACAATTTGAATAAATGTTCTGGTACAAAATGTTAATTAAAGGACTCAGATACTGGAATGGATTGCTTCTTTCTGTTTTGCTCATTTTAAAGATTTGGGGTTTTGGATGTATGCCTTAAGGAATGTGTTTTAAAGAAAGTCTGAGAAATAATTTTCGTTTTTGCAAAAAGTGTTTCTTCCATAGCCACAGGTATTTGAAAAATATGGGGAAAAAGAACAGCGTGCTTTTTCCTTACTGTGGAGGCATTATATGGTCACAAGCTCTCTTTGAATTTAGAGTCCTAGCTTTTACCCTGACAAAAATAAGGACAAAGTTTTTGTTACTCTTCATATTCAATTTAAAATAAAGTCCAAGCTTATAAATGAATCAAGATAAACCTATACAACATTAACATATTATAACATGAGAATTGTCTTACTGTCATTATGAGCCTAATGCTTTACAGTAGCTATGACCAAATACTGCATTAAATTAAAACTTTCATCATAATCAAGTTGGATAATTTATTAAAAATATGGAGAATCTGATTTTAGAAATTGAAACATTCCTTTTCTAAAAACTGATTTTCATGTTTCATGGAATAAACTTTCTTATGATACCAAGTAAGAGAAACTACATATATTTAAGTGCATGATTCCTAATTCCTAATCATTCCAAAGTACGTGATGCAAAAGTCTGTTCTATACTACTCACCGAAAAATATTCATTAGAATGCAGATCCTCTTTCCAGTACTTTTATCACAGGAATACCAACCTCCATAACTCTTGCTCTATAAATCCTGACTTAGTTTTCCTTTCCCTAAATTGCTAAGGCTTTCTATGAAAGATGAAGTAATATTGATCTTCACCTTAAAAATGTGTTCATGTGAGAAAATAAATGCTACAAATTTCAAATTTACATTTCTATTTTATACATGGTTCATGCTCTTGTATGAAAGAAAATCACAGTGATGATGTTGATGATGACGAAAGTGTTTCCTTCATTCATACTTGTCCCCCACTTCCCTTCTGTGAGGAGGACACTAAAATTTAAAGAAGTAAATCATGTCACCTTATTTTTGGTACAAAGAAGGCAGAGAACTTATGAGTTACTGAAAAAGAGAAGAACTTAGTTTCTAAAAGCTGGAAAAAAATTTTCCACTACTTGGATCTCTTTCTGGATTTAAAAACTTGCAGTATTTGACATTTCCCTGATGGTAAAGATTTGTTTTTCTAAAATTAACTTACTAAATATTAACTTCAGAGTACAGTTTGCAATGGATTTAAAAGCATAAAATGTTTAACTTGAAATGATCTAAATATTTGTTCACACTAAGAGTTCAGTCCTCCCTTTTCAGAATCCACAAAAACAATAAGGCCCACTGAAGGGAGTGTGCCCCACATCTCCTTGTTCCTTCCAATTCACATGTAGCGAGAATAGGTTCCTCCAGAGAAAGCCGCAGATTGACCGTGTTCCCACTTAGGATCTTTTTAATGAGACATTTTAATGATGTTGAATGGCACAGCACAGTGAATACTTTACATTTTTCTTCTAATTTTCAATTCTTCTGGTTTAGAGGAATATTCTTATGGAGTATTCTAACACGGGGGCGGGTATGTATGGTTGTCACCTCTTGACTTGCAGGATAGCATTTATTGAAGGCAGGACCTATGTGAATAATGCAACTGCAGTGTCAAGCCAAATAATACACCAAATAAAACTTGAAGAGTGGAAAATAAATAAATACATAAATAAATAAATAAATAAATAAATAAATAAATAAAAGGTTAAGCAGAACAGTTATGTCAGTATGCCAGAAGGGGGCGCATGTGCACGTACCTGCAACCTGCTCTCCACCCACAGGTGTAGACACTCGCCTTTATCCTCACAGGGTAAGGATAAAATAGAAGCTTAAATCAAGTGCATGCCCTTGATTTAGAAGCACTGAAAATGAAATATAACAAAATGTGCTTTGGTTATTGAATTTAGCATTTTCCTGAAATTACATTTTTTAATAATTTTTTTTCACTTTGCTTAGGAATCAAAGCAGTTGCTCAAGATGAATTTACCTGCATTTGCTCTTGTCTTGGCATTAATCCGTGGTGCCAGTGGCCAATATTACGATTATGATGCCCCCCTCTTTATGTATGGGCAATTATCACCCAACTGTGCACCCGAATGTAACTGTCCCCACAGCTACCCGACAGCCATGTACTGTGATGATCTGAAGCTCAAAAGGGTTCCAATGGTGCCTGCTGGGATCAAGTATCTTTACCTTAGAAACAACCAGATTGACCACATTGATGAAAAAGCTTTTGAGAACGTAACTGATCTGCAGTGGCTCATTCTAGATCACAATCTTCTAGAAAACTCCAAGATAAAAGGAAAAGTTTTCTCTAAACTGAAACAGCTGAAGAAACTGCATATAAACCACAACAACCTGACAGAATCAGTGAGTCCACTTCCAAAATCTCTGCAGGATCTACAGCTCACTCATAACAAGATCACCAAGCTCGGCTCCTTCGATGGACTGATAAACCTGACCTTCATCCACCTTCAGCATAATCAGCTCAAAGAAGATGCTGTCTCAGCTTCCCTGAAAGGTCTTAAATCTCTTGAGTACCTTGACTTGAGCTTCAATCAGATGAACAAGCTACCTTCTAATCTGCCAGCATCTCTTCTAACTCTCTACCTGGACAACAATAAGATCAGCAACATCCCAGATGAATATTTCAGTCGCTTCCGTGGGCTGCAATACCTGCGTTTATCTCACAATGAACTGGCTGATGGCGGAATACCTGGGAATACATTTAATATATCATCCCTGCTTGAGCTGGATCTCTCCTATAATAAGCTCAAGAACATACCAACCGTTAATGAAAACCTTGAAAATTATTACCTGGAGGTCAACCAACTTGAAAGTAAGTAGAATGTTCTGCCCATGTTTGATGATATAGCCTCAAGTATTTAAATGGATAAACTGTTCAACATAAATGCTACATCTGACTCCACTCAAAAAGAGTGAATTAAAAGCAACAAAATCCAGACACTGACCACGCAATTCTTTCTAGCTTTCCTTAAGGGCATCTACATAAAGAACAGCTAAAATCACAGAAATTTACATCAAAATTCTCTAGATTTAATATTCTAGGCTAATTGATGCTATTAGTCCTTAAAATTGATCTGTTAGTGTTTACTTTATGACTTAAATTTATGTGTTACATTTATTTCTTGGCAAGTATCAACAGGAAAGGAAGGAACAAGCTCAGAAGAGGTGTAGTCAGCACAGTACTTAAGACATCACTTCCCTTTATCTAGTACAGACATCTTCCTATGGTCTTCCCCAGTGTCTGGAGATTCAGTGTGCTACTCTGCTAACATCACCAGTATCTCTTCTCTTGTCTGCTGTGGTGTGTGTGTGTGTTTGGTCCTCACTCTGCTTTCATGAGGTTTCCAAGGGAGAGTAAGGAAGGAAAGATGGTAATGAAGATTTTTCAATACATATTCATTAAAATTAGCACTGCAGAGCCCTTATCTTTCACAAAATCATTCCCTTCATGTTTTCCACAGTTACACCCTTCCGTTTTTGCTGCCATATTTTAAGTTACCTTCTGGTGGATTGTGGTTTGATCTACTTGGGATCTGTATTCAGGCTTCTAGTCCTTTAGAGCATTTTTCAAGTTAGGCATTCAAATCCACATAGGAAATTCGAACATGTCATTGTCATGGTACTCTTTCACAGAGTTTGGAAGGAACATTTCAGTTCATCAATAAGTGAAAAAATCAGATGCAAAGCATCAATTCACATATATAGCACTTAAAATACACACAAAGCATCTACTAAAATTGAACACCTTTATCCAATGAAAAGTTTTCTCACTTTGTCATGCTGAATAAAGGTATTGCTATCATAAGAGTCATATTTAATATTGTGACTACACTGTAATTTTGCAACAATGTTGTGTAATGCCTAGGTTAGCATATTCTCATGAAGGAGACCATGGCTGTCAACACAAACCTCATGTTTTCCTTTGTATTTTGAAAGTCACCAAAGCAGGGTGTGGAGGTGTTTTGATTATTACATGGTATATTATTGAAGCTGTCATAGCTTAACTTCTACAATTGTGTCCAGGGTAAAATTCACTATGGGCACTATATGGCCTGACATTTTACCCTTTTGTGGTTACAGCAAAGGTATTTTGATGGACCAGAATGACAAAGGTAGATAGACTGTGTGACAGCTAAAGGAATCCATTAGATATGATGGCAGAGTTCAGTCACAAGGATGAGGTCACTTCTTTCTCTGGGATTTAGATGGTGGCATATTTGCTGGTGTATGCTGTTTGAGTGAAAGAGGAAAGAACCAGTGTGGGGGATGGGAAACGTGGCCTGTGGGAGAAGGGCCAACAGTCATTCATTGCTCAACCGAGGCAGAAACCACACTGTCAGTGTACAGTGGCCAGTTGAAGAGGAATGTGGTTACCTTTTCTTTCCCTATTCTTGACATTTGTTGAAGTACTTTGTCTTCCCAGATTGCTCTGCACTTTAAGCTATTTTTTCCAGGCAATAACTGCATATCTTAATTTCATATAATCTTAAGAAAATTATGGTTTTTAATGTATAATCTCTAGCATTACATCTTCCTATATGTTAAATCATTTATAGATTAATTATGATACACAATAAGATGAAAATGCTCTCTAGATAATCATATGCTATATTGTTTAAGGATAATGACACTAAAAAATTCTGCATACTAATTACAGATGCAACTTGGATCTATGGTTCATTGAATCTGTAAATGTGGAACACAAAGATACAGAGCTCCAGTGTACAATCAAAACCAATTCTTCGCATTTCAATCCAGTAAATCTAAGACTTAATCTAACCACCACTCTTCATCTTCCTCATGTGATGTAATTTGGGACAGAGAAAAATGATTAGGATAGTAGTAATTAGTTAAGGCACTCTGCATGTTGATATTATGTAAATGCTTTGAATACCTTCATTTAATCTTCATGGAATTCACTGAAAGCAAAACATTGTTGCAGACATGGAGATTAGCTGAATGTTCCAAGGTCAACCAGTTAGATATCAGAGTTAGCATGCCAACACAGGCCTAAAGCTATCTTCTTTTTTTCACATCATACTTTCTCAGAGATTGATGCAGTGTAGAAAGATTCTGGAGTTATAACAGTGACTTATTAAAGCAAGCATCTTAGAAGATAGCACACTGTGTTTGAGTTTTCACTCAATTCATTGCTAACTAGTGTTTGAGAATGAAAGAAAATAGGAAACCAAAAGACCAGATAAGGTAAGGTTGAAACTGACTCAAGTAAACATTGATAGATCCTATATGGACACACAGGTACTATTAAAAACTAGATGCAGATGCGTTTTCATATATGGTAGCATTTCAACCACTGAAAAACATTGGCTCAGATGTACACCCCATGAGTCAGTTTGTGCCTTAAAGTTTGATTCCCTACGGTGATGTCTGGGAAATTCTCCAGAAACCATCTAGTTAAAACTCTTTTTCAGATGAATGATCTTTTTAATGATGATGTTGTTCATATAATTTCTCTTTATTCAGGACTGTCTAATAATTTCAAAATATTTCTTACTAAGTCCTATCTGTTGAATGTTTTTCTCCTCCTCAAATAAACTAAGCTCTGTTCTCTGAGAAATTCCATTGTATTTCCTGATCTACCCTAGTTAGTATCTAGTAAATGCTCCTGTGCCATTTTCACAGCCTCAAATATAACCCTAGTGGTGCTTCCTTCAAAGATATACAGTGAAGATGGCTTCCTAGGTAGGACAACTGATAAAATCGGAGGGAAATTTTTAAATGATCACTTCAAGTCAGTATACTGAAGAAAATGATTTAACTTTCTATTCTATAATTTGCAGAGTTTGAAGTTAAGAGCTTCTGCAAGATCCTGGGACCATTATCCTACTCCAAGATCAAGCATTTGCGTTTGGATGGCAATCCCCTTACCCAAGGCAGTCTTCCCCCTGACATGTACGAATGTCTACGTGTAGCAAATGAAATCACCGTTAATTAATTTCTTCTCACTCCAGTTACAATGAAGTATATTCTGGAGCAATACTTCAAAATTAAGATTTTCATGTATGTGTGTGAAGCTTCCATAATTTCCTTTGTTGTTATTGTCGACTACTTCCAGGGATTTTAATTAATGAAGGAAATGTTTTGTGAATATTTACCACTTATTTTAATAAAAGAAAAGATGAAAAGCAGGCCTATTTCATCATGAGAACAGACAAAAAAACATTAAGCTTAAGTCTTTGTATGTAAATTTAGTTTTTCTATAGCTATTTGGTCAAGTGATATGCAAAGTCTTTTTACTGACTTCATGGAAATCACTCACATTTCATGATCCCTATATTTTAATTTAATGAACTTTAAAACATTGACTACAATGAATAGATATTTCTACCCTAACCCAAATTAGTTCGATATGTTAAATTTTCTTTTGATGAAAACAGATTTTATATTTTGAGACCAATAATTTTTCAATATATCAGACAAAATTTTCAAAGTCACACACACCTAAGAATTCATACCTAGTATTAAGCATTTGCATAATTACATAATGAAAGTTTTTTGAATTATTGTTTTCTCTGTCATGTGAATGTTTCTTTTTGATTATTTGCATGTTATGTTTAACAGGCTGATAGCAAAATAAAACACAGCAAATGGCATCACTGTGTTGAATTCTTGTGAAATCCATTTCTCTCCTATACAAAATGCATAAAAGATACAATCAAATTCAAACACATTCATAGGTTGTAATATTTTACTGATGTGAACATAGGACATCCCACAATTTTTATGACTCTAGGATCCACCTAAAAGGAATTACTAAACCCATTTTATAGCATGTTCTAGATCTTACAGCCTCTTTGAATATAGTTTTTATTTTCATATTATTTTTACTGAATCCTGCACTGTTAACCTACTCCATAAGAAACTGCTGAAAATCTTTGCAATTACTGTTGATTCTTAAACAAAGATAGTGAATACTTTTCAGGACTTATAATGTTCAATAAATATAAAATTCTCTGGAAAGAGATTTTTAATAAGAATCATACATCTTTAATCCAGTGTGTTGGAACATGAGTTTTTGAGTTCACATTGCAGTAATAACAACTTACAGCTTTCTATATGATGGGTATCCATGATCCCACACAACTGAAGACAGTAGGAAATATCTCTAATGGAAATAACTTCTGCTTCCACCTAGTTAACATTAAAGCCTTCTTGTCACCAAATGTTTTTGAAAATGCACTCATCCAGTAACAGTGATTATATACTCAGAACCACAGGAAGAATATCCCCAGAGCATAGTATTTTCATAAGATAATTGTACTGAACTTGTTTTATGGTAGTGTGCTATTAGCAGCAAGATCTCTAACGAGTCTGAATCAATGGAACAATCATGAGGAGTAGAGTATGTAGTATTAGCTAACTGGGCACCTAGCATTCTTACATCTTTCGTTTATTCATAGAGTCAGGTTTATTGAACTTAATAGTGCCCAAATCATCTCTTGTTATAAACTTAAAATTATTTTCTCAATGGTTGGGTGTGGTAGTGCATACCTTTAATCCCAGCATTTGGGAGAAAGAGGTAGACAGATCTTTGTGAGTTCAAGGCCAGCTTATTCTGTATAGTGAGTATCCAAATCCGTTAGATCAGTGAGACCCTGTCTCAAAAAAAAAAAAAAAATACAAAACAATAAAACCAAACCAATTTTTTTCCCTCTCAACAAATCTTTTTTTAGAAAAAACAGAACTATTAATGTCCTACCTCTTGAATTTTATAATTCACTACCAATTCTTGGAAACCTGTTCTTAAGTAGGTAATAGATAATATGCCACAATTTCTTTAGCAGGAATATATGGTCTTAAATGTATTTTGCCATCATAGAGCTTAGAGGCACTATCTTTATGGAAGTATTTCTTTATCTGTAAAAGCCTTAGAACTACTTCTACTCAAAGTATAATATTAGTCTTCAGTTTAAAATATAGGACTATAGCATAAAGGAGCCATCTTCTTTGGAGTTAAGTTATACTGTAAAGATGAAGTGCAGGAAACAGCCCTTAGTAGGAGTGTCTGGAGGGGCAATAGTTTGATGCTGTTTGAGAACAGCTTCTCTTTCCAGAGACTGCCCACCGTCCTCTCAGTGTAGAGCTTCCCAGAGAAGCTTCCTGATCTCTCCTTCACTTCCTGGGCCAGCCCAAGATAGGCAGAGAGGAAGCATGAGGCAGAGACAGGCTGATGTGTTCTTTCCTCAATGTCTGAGTAATACAGTGCTTTTCAAAATGACTCGTGCACCACCAGCATGCCTTGATAGCTTTAAAAATACAGACTATGAGACATAGGCTCCAGATATACAGACCGAGTAAGTTTCACAACATGAATCATCTTTGTAAAAGAGTATCTGTGTGTGATTGCTGTCTTTCTCCACACTAACTCAGTGTGGTACTGGGGTCAAACCAGTGAAGTCCCAAACAGTTAAAAATCAGAAAAAATCCTTTCTCTAGAGTACCTGTTCACAACATATATCGATGAGAATAAAAACTCTTTTGCATATTCATGTGCATTGAAAATCTGTTTCTGCAATTTCTTTCTAAGTGAGCAACAAACCACAACAAGAAGTGAGTTTCAGAAAGCAGAGGCTGTCCTGAGGCTGACCCACCTAGAGCTGCTCTGAGCTGCTCTGTCCCACTTTTAGGCTATTTTCTTTCACTTCAGAATTGCACAATTTGGGGCTAGGCATGGAGGGGCACATCTTCAATCCCAGCACTCAGGAAGCAGAGGCAGCTCTGTTAGATCATGGCCAGTTTGTTCAACATAGTGAGTTCCATGCTAGCTAGGAGCTATAGGGAGACCCTGTCTCAAAAACGAATGAACAAACAAGCAAACAAACAAAAACAAACAAACAAACAAACAAACAAACCCTAATTGCCCAGTTTGGCTTACAGTAGCAAAGATGGCTTCCAACTCATTTCAAGATACCAATGAATCTAAACATGGTACATTTCTGAAAGGAAGGCCTCTCATCTGACTCATGAATACTGGTTTTGATTTCATCTTTTTTGGAATAAATTCTCCCATGAATGGAGCAAGCTATGACCTATATATTCTTCCTCTCCTAAAACTGATTCATTAAAGTCTTTTAACTATGGTCTCTTAATTGGATAGAAAGCAGAAAGATGAGAAAAGCCCCTATTTGTTCTCAAAGATGTCCATTTGAAAATTGAGGGATAACTATAAAGTTCCCAGGTTTGGGGGTTTGTGAAGAGCCATCATGCTCTGAGTATGAGCAGTTTCCTGAGTAACAGGCCACCAATGGTCCGGGAATGCTGATTTCTTAGTTCAAAGTTCTGCGGGTAATAGCTAGGTTTTCAGAATCACTGGAGACTGAAAGATTGGGTTTAAAAAGAATTGGACTTCTCTTCCTTGTGATCTTTGTGTGTTTTGGGTTCCAATTTTTCAACAGCTATAATTTTATCATAATGATGACTTTAGACTTTACTTTGGTTGTATTTTGCAACCATCATAAGTGCTTAACATTTATTCACAGTAAAAAGAAATGCTCATGATATTTAAAGGGGAATCAAAAGCAACTTTAATATCAGAATTGAAAATGTACAAAAATAACAATGATATTAACATAGATATGATAGAAATGATATATGAAGTGAACAGGCATTTATTCATTCATACATTCAATAGCTTTTGTTTCTAGGTAAGATGTAAGAAATTGAAATACAACACCAGAATAGAAAAGTGGATACAGATGCTGAAGAGACAGTCCAGCGATTAAGGGCACTGGCTACTATTACAGAGGATGCAGATCAGGTGCCCAGCACCCACTTGCACTTGGTGGCTAGCCACCTTCCATAGCTCCAGGGTATTCGATGGCCTCTTCTAGATTCTACAGGCATTGCGCCACGGGGGTGCACTTACATATATGCAGGCAGAACACTCATTCACATAAAATAAAAAGTAAATAAAACATTGAAAAGTAGAAACCGAGGTAACCCAAGTGGAGGAATTCTTACTCATGCTGATCTCACTTTTATAATCCCAACATCGGACTTCTGTGTAATAGCTTCTCAATCAGATATGTTTGCTCAAATAGTATCAACTAAAGTTTATTGTATCTACCATTTATCGCCCGTGTCCTTAAAATGTACCTGATACCCTTTGTATCTGATATTTTATAAAAAGAGTAAACATTCAATGATTTGAAAGTATTCCTGGGTCAGAGATGCATCACAATGCATTTCTGTGCAATCCATTGTGTATTTCCATTGACACCACTTTTTATCCAGACTTGCGCAAATTTCACCTAGATAACAGAAGAGTCTTCTTCTTTGATGAACTGTATCATCCACAGAACATTTTCTAACAGGTAAACTTGCTTCTTCCCTGTTCATTGTTCTAACTATATATGCTATTGCATTCTGGATGTGATCAGAGCATCAGCCACTGTAACATTAAAGCACATTGTGATCTGGTCCTAGTGTCCTCTCTAGACTCATCTCTTGCCAGGTTTTGCCAGGTCATATAAAGCACCAAACAAGGTAGAATTAATATATTTATAATAAAAGGACATTTTTTTATTATGAAAATTAAAATTCTTTTGTCAGATTTCTTTAACTGTCTCTACATTACTTCTATTGATATGATTCTTTTGTTTGTTTTTTTGTTTTAATTTTTAAAATTGTTTCATTTATTAATTTAAAATTTTTATGTGTATGAGTATATTGCCTGCATGTATATAAGTGCACCCATATCCTGAAATGCCTGTCGAGATCAGAGAGAGCATCGAATCCCTCAGAACTGGAGTTGAAGACACCAGTTGTTAGTCACCATGTGGGTGCTGGGAATTGAACCTGGGCCCTCTTCAAGAGCAGTCAGTACTCTTAACCACTGAACCATCTCTCCAGCCCTTGGCATGATTTTTTAAAAAAGATATTTATTTGTTTAACTTGTATGTTTGTGTATCTGCTTGCATGAGTATATGTGCACCACACCACATATATAAGGAGCCCTCAGAAGTCAGAAGAGGGTATCAGATACCATGGACCTGGAATTACAGATGGTTGTGAGCCACAGTGTGGGTACAGGTAGCATAACTCTGATCTTCTGCAAGAGCAGTAAGCACTCTTAAGCACTGAGTCATCTTTACCTGTCCTACTAGTATGTTTTAAACATTCATTCAACAACTGATTTCTGTTGACCTTCTACATTCTAGGAATAGTTTAGGTACTAGGGAGACTTTTGTGAGCATGATTAACAAATACCCTAACAAAGTTGACATTCCTAGGGAATTTAAACATTCTTAAGAGATTAAGCCATCATTCTATGACAGGATGTCTGGTAGTGACAAATGCTTTGAAGGAACATTATCTAAGGACTGCAAGGAATGGAAGGGTAGGTGATAATTTATTGGATGACAGGCAAAATGAAGTAACTATAATAATGTTATTTAAATTTTATGATGTGTGAAATAATTTAAGAAATATTCTTTATGCATTATTTTAGCTCCAATAATATTTATAAGATACATTCCTACTGTTAAAGAGGAAATACCAGGATGCAGGGTCCGGCACAGTTTAAATGCTGTAACTCCCATTTGCAACCACATCACTGTTTTCAGACTGAATGTTCTAATTCCACAAGCTCTCA